AAAAAAAAAAAGTATAATTAGTTCTATATAACCTTTGTAAGTATAACACTAGAGACAGAAGCCATAAAGGAAATATAACGTGTTTCGGTGCCTAAAACTGTCACAAAATACTGACGTCACAAAACACCATTTAATTTAAAGATGGACATACTCTGAGGAAAAAAAAAAGTGTATTGTATGACAATGGCTTAACATCTCTAATATTTAAAGCATGATTTTAGATCATAAAGATAATTATAACAAACTATTCATAAAAAATAAATATTGGGGAAACATGAAGTCTTTATTAATCTCACTTGCTACCAAGCTATTGCAATATAAAATTTGACTATGAAAGTTCAAGGGGAATGATTTGACGTATTATGTCCAAATCTTTGTTAAGCACAATTCGTCAAAATTTATCACAGAACCTTTGTTTTTAAAAATACATGTTTTAGTCCAGTGGTTGAACTTACGGAATTTATCTTGAGTTATCGTGGATATGACACAGAGATCCTGCTTGAAGACTTGCATGGTGAAGGTGTTTACAATGTCGAGCAAATGGAGACATCCGAATTGTTCACTAATAAGGAAGGGCTTACCTAAACCATGATAGCTAGATAGTGGAATGCTGGGGATTCATTAGAAAGCCTAATATAGACACACTGTATGTAAAATGTCTTTCTGTATTCATGATGGAAAGCATGTAGACACAGGACAGTGAGTGTGAGCCTGCAGACACAGGACAGTGAGTGTGAGTATGCAGATACACAGGACAGTGAATGTGAGCCTGCAGACACAGGACAGTGAGTGTGAGTATGCAGATACACAGGACAGTGAATGTGAGCCTGCAGACACAGGACAGTGAGTGTGAGTATGCAGATACACAGGACAGTGAATGTGAGCCTGCAGACACAGGACAGTGAGTGTGAGTATGCAGATACACAGGACAGTGAATGTGAGCCTGCAGACACAGGACAGTGAGTGTGAGTATGCAGATACACAGGACAGTGAATGTGAGCCTGCAGACACAGGACAGTGAGTGTGAGTATGCAGATACACAGGACAGTGAATGTGAGCCTGCAGACACAGGACAGTGAGTGTGAGTATGCAGATACACAGGACAGTGAATGTGAGCCTGCAGACACAGGACAGTGAGTGTGAGTATGCAGATACACAGGACAGTGAATGTGAGCCTGCAGACACAGGACAGTGAGTGTGAGTATGCAGATACACAGGACAGTGAATGTGAGCCTGCAGACACAGGACAGTGAGTGTGAGTATGCAGATACACAGGACAGTGAATGTGAGCCTGCAGACACAGGACAGTGAGTGTGAGTATGCAGATACACAGGACAGTGAATGTGAGCCTGCAGACACAGGACAGTGAGTGTGAGTATGCAGATACACAGGACAGTGAATGTGAGCCTGCAGACACAGGACAGTGAGTGTGAGTATGCAGATACACAGGACAGTGAATGTGAGCCTGCAGACACAGGACAGTGAGTGTGAGTATGCAGATACACAGGACAGTGAATGTGAGCCTGCAGACACAGGACAGTGAGTGTGAGTATGCAGATACACAGGACAGTGAATGTGAGCCTGCAGACACAGGACAGTGAGTGTGAGTATGCAGATACACAGGACAGTGAATGTGAGCCTGCAGACACAGGACAGTGAGTGTGAGTATGCAGATACACAGGACAGTGAATGTGAGCCTGCAGACACAGGACAGTGAGTGTGAGTATGCAGATACACAGGACAGTGAATGTGAGCCTGCAGACACAGGACAGTGAGTGTGAGTATGCAGATACACAGGACAGTGAATGTGAGCCTGCAGACACAGGACAGTGAGTGTGAGTATGCAGATACACAGGACAGTGAATGTGAGCCTGCAGACACAGGACAGTGAGTGTGAGTATGCAGATACACAGGACAGTGAATGTGAGCCTGCAGACACAGGACAGTGAGTGTGAGTATGCAGATACACAGGACAGTGAATGTGAGCCTGCAGACACAGGACAGTGAGTGTGAGTATGCAGATACACAGGACAGTGAATGTGAGCCTGCAGACACAGGACAGTGAGTGTGAGTATGCAGATACACAGGACAGTGAATGTGAGCCTGCAGACACAGGACAGTGAGTGTGAGTATGCAGATACACAGGACAGTGAATGTGAGCCTGCAGACACAGGACAGTGAGTGTGAGTGTGCAGATACACAGGACAGTGAGTGTGAGCGTGCAGACACAGGACAGTGAGTGTGAGCCTGCAGACACAGGACAGTGAGTGTGAGCCTGCAGACACAGGACAGTGAGTGTGAG